TAGGTCAGATTTTGCGCATACGCCAAGGCAATGCGTTTTCACGATGATCGTAGTCAGTTCCTCTTTTTACCTGCTTTGGTCAGTAATAGTTTCGTCTTAGCGCGTCTTTAAGTTATTGAAGCAAATAGCATTCTCGTAAATATTCTGAACGAAACGGCATCATTTGGTAGATTATCCTGGCACTGTATTTTGGCGTTTCCCTTCCATTTGTTTTCCAGTCAGTCTATGTCAACATTTCGTTCGCATTCCAACACAGACGCCTCACAATCGATTCTGATGACTTTAGCGAACTTTTGTACTAAATGGGCTTTGTGCTGCTGTTCTTAAACCTCAGCTCTTCTCGAATTCGCTTTCACTCCCTCCTCCTAGCCTCATTCGGGCCAGTTAGTTTTAATGTTTTAAGAGCACAGAACTAGATTCCCCACTCTCCTAGTTACCCGTTGAAACACAGTTAAGATAGATGACAGAAAGTTGCCTACCGTTAGTGCATAATGGAGCAGTAAGTTTCTGAATGCTCGAGTAGTGATAGAGGAATAAGAATTGATCAGCAGGATGCAGTACAGCTCAGGAAAGAATGATGCCAGTTAATTATATTAGTGCATTTCCGTTGGTATGATCTGAGTAAATACTGCACTGTTCATTAGATGAGTTAGAACTAGGCTGGGCTGCTTCTGATTTTACCGAATTACTCGAGCATTTGTGGAAGCAAATGATTGCAATTCTCTGAAACTTCTCATTTCAAATAATTTAGAGATACCTGTAGCAGAAGGAAGGTTAGGAAATGAAATCATTCCACTGTAACAAAAGGAGGCCGAGAAACATCCATGAATTCCTCTTCTCTTTTCTGAAAGCGAATTCTACTAATAATGAACAAAACTGCTTCCCCGAAATCGTGCACGAAAAAATCTTTAGCAAAAACACTCAGTCAAAAACACTCTGTAAAAATGTCAACTTTCAAATCTTTTGCGCTGAAAATGCGGCTCAGTTGTAACTGCCACTAATATTTTTGCAGCTACCCTGCCCATTTATTAAGAATTTCTTCCCTAGTTCGAGCTAGTATTTTTTTACGAACTTGCTTTTTAATGCAGTTTAGCACTTTGCTGTTTGTTTAGCTAACTTTGCATTTTTTGCTAGATGAAGATGTAACCGAGCCTGCAATGCACCAGGCTTACCGATGCAGTCGTGCATTTCTGCGCCAAATTTGAAGTAGTCAGGTCGTTAGCTGTATGAATGGTTATTACTTTACATTTAACTTGTGCACTCATTACCATAAACCACCATGATTTTGCATAAAGGAAAATGAATGATTTCCGTTGATCGGTCGTTCATTGGGAACGACCTAGCCGTTCTATTTCCCGAGCTAGTAATTTTCCCGCCAAAAACTTCCATGTGTTCGTACGTGACAGCCGGGTGTATTTAGGGACTGGTTTCGAAGCCTCGAGATCGTGGACAGAGAAAATCTTGCTAAAATTTCAGCTTCTTAGCATGCCCCGTTCCTGAATTAGCAGTTTTCCCTCAAAACTTTTACATGCCCGTACTTAAGAGCCACGCTTGAGTTTGAAAGAGGAGCTGAATTTGAAATCTTTAAGTTGTACGTCCCCTCAGATTTTCAGCTTTTCTGGTTCCCTAGTTGGCAGTTTTCCTGCCAAAACCTTCACGTACTCATATGCGGGGCTGAGACGTGCGTGAATGTTGGCACTACGTTTCTGGGGTGGCGCTTGGTCAGAGAGCCTGCTGCGAAATTCCAGCGTCAAGGCTTGCTTGGTTGCCGAGTTAAAATACCCAGACAGGCGAACACAAACTTACACGCACCATGGGTCGTCACAATATGTTTTCGCATTTGTATACATGCAAAAACGCATATTTCGACGACCCATTACATATATATATATATATATATATATATGCATCTGTCCGGATATTTCAACTCGACAACCAAGCAAACTTTGGCGTCGAAATTTTTCCAGTGGCTTCGGCCAACTGCCATCCCAGAATGGCGGTACTAATCTTAATACAAGTCCGAGCTTCGCACACGAACACGTGAAGGTTTTGGCGGGAGAATTGCTAACTCAAGAACCAAAAAAGCTGGATGCTTAAATTTTGGAGGGATGTCCTCCATCCGCGCACAGTTTAAGCATTTCAAATTCAGCCCGCAAGTACGCGCGGCCCCTGCGTTCGAGCGCGTGAAAATTTTGGTGAGAAAACTGCTAACACAAGAAACAGAAAAATCGGAAAGTTGAAGTTTTGAGAAAATGTCTCCTGGCTACGTGCAGCTTGAACGATTTCTCGAGGATACGTGGCCAGGAACTTCGGCATGACATAAAATATTCTGCTGCTGAGCCACAGTCTGCGTCACCGATCACCCTGATGTTCTCATACGAAGCTAGGCCGTGTCCTTCGATCCTGAGCCGCTCACGTCCAGCTAGTAGCCATTGCCTGTTTGATTTGTGTGCGAAAGAAAAAGCATTCAGGGAAGGAGTTTTTATGAAAACAGTAGGAACAATTTCTCACATTAGTAACAAACGTCGATAGTGAGAAATGGGTTGAAGATTCCGTAACCGAAGCAAGTCGCGGACAAACAGAGTTTAGCCCAAGCTGAAGGACAGTGAATGTATTACATCATGGATCCTATTTGAATCCATACTTCAACAGTTGTTAGACCTATGATGTAATACGAGTGATAATTTGGAAAACAAATTTTGTACATATGTCCGACCAATTTAAAATTGGCAGCAGCGGGATGACTATTAATTAAAGCGTTTGGAAGAGTTTCCGGGTTACAGCCACGCTAGGAAATGATAGCCATTCCAGGTACCGAAATCCCGAGAACGCGACCGTTCTCAACATCAGTAACCGGAACTGTTCGGAGGCCGCAGACACCGAGCTTCGAAATTAATCGAGACATTAAATACCGAGTAACGAAACTGCTCCGGCAGCACAAATGCCTGGCACCCAAAATTGTTCAAAAGTCGAACATTGGAACTGTTATTCTCGGTGCGCCCTATTCCGTAGTTCGGTGATGTCCAGGTGACACCACCGAGCTTCACATGAAATTCAGAATCCGGGTAACGTGTACTCAGATGTTCATGGTGCCGAACTATACAGAATGTCTGCTGTGAGAGGCCCATTACTAGGAAAAGTCGCTCCGCCCCACCGCTGGTCTGCGGAGCGCTGCGCCCGCTGACCGTTGAAGCGAAGCGATATGCGCGTCTAACAGCCTGGTTATTGTACAAATAGTAAGGGCACCTTGCAGATACAGCTGGATACATGTTACTTGTAATGTGAAATTCATCTGCCGCTCCTCCTAGCTGTGCCCTTACTCCTTCACGGTTGCACCGTTTTACCACTCTTCCCCCAGATTTCACTTGTAACCTCAGTCTGCCACTGTATATCACTATTTTTTCCAAATCTCTATCATCCCAAATATTACTTAGTTGGTGAAAAGGCGTGGCCTTAGACTATTCATTGGTGCAACTGTAAAGTAGCAACAAATCATTTCACTGTTCATTGAATCGAAAACTCATAAACTATAAAAATAAATCACGAAAAATACACAGTTACTCTGCGCTGGGATCAACAGTCGGGGCAGTCAGGGATAACAAAGAAATGACAGTGAGTTATCGAAGGCAGATTAACCTGCTAATTTGCTTTTCTATCTGGTAAAAATCGAAAACGGCAAATACGATGTATTAACTGATAATATCATTGAAAATCTAGACGAGCTGAATGACAGTAGCATAACTGAAGCAGCTGCACCATTCAGAAATGGAGGTATCAAGCTCAAAAAAGTTAATTTTTCTATACCTTCCAATATTCACAACCTAATCAACTTTGGTTATGCCTGCCCGTTGAACTAACCATCGGTGAGTGTGTTTCAAAAGCAATTGAACAACTGCAAGAATAAAAAAACGACTTATTGAAGAAGCACAATAAAAGTAATAGTCAAAGAAAAGGTCAGTGCACACGAATGTATGCGCGGGAGTTTTAAGAGGCTGTCTAGCAAAAACTGGCTTCAAAGTGGGGAAAAGTTCATATGTGCATGTGTTAAACAAAAATGTGCTTCGGATGAAAGGTCAAGTAATATTCTCACTTAAAGAAGCAAAGTGGATTTCTTACTTTAAAAAGCTGCATGAGTTTGTCTTTTTGAGAAACTACAGGAAGCAAAGGTTTCAGATGCGCTTTTTTTCTTTAGGAAGCAAAGGTTTCAGATGCGCTGAGCAGAATAAAACACAAACCTACAAGCAGCATCGGTGATAACAGTAAACAATATTTCACTTTGGAGCAAGGGGTTCCATGTTTTCCTCAGCATTTTCGTTTTCTTTGCCCTGCCGTCGGCAAGAAACACTGAAAATTTTATATGATCAGCGGCTATGCACCGAGAAACATTATACATACCCAACGTTACAAATAAGCTACAGGTCTTAACTTACCAGTGCTGGCACGCGTATTCGAACCCAACGTTTACAAGAGAATCGCTGAATAACTGTTCTATCGTCAGCGAAATGCGAATGTCGTTCGGTAAACCAAACCCCATTCGTAAATGTGTTAGTTCCTTGGGCTCGACTTTGCCTTGTTCTTGTGGACAACAAAATCAGCTGCAGTTTATTTCCACGTATATAGGAACACGCCTAGGGAGCGATCGTACGTTCACTGAAGGGACGTTTCGCTGCCGAAGATCCGTTAATGGAGGAGACATTGATATCAATCACTGTTAGTGGGACAGGTTTAACAGCGCTATTGGCTGGAGTCATAATCAAAGCAATGTTGATGGTACACCAACTGTCCCTTGGGAATTTTGGGAGTGTTTATATAGTGTTAGTTAACACCGGATAGAAAAGCCAGGAACAGTGGTTAGTGGATAAAGTGGGCAAGGAAAAGCAGGACAGGAAAGATCTGGAATGAAAGTTACAGGAGGGAAAGGCAAAGGAAGTGGGAAAGGGAAAGGTCTGGAATGGAGGGATTGACCCTCCACTGAACATGCTGGTGGTTCGATAATAACGTGGTCTCCACGCGTCGTATCATAACATGGTCTCCATGCTATCATAAAAATACAGAATATGATAATCGTGTGATCCTACAAAGATAATCATATACATATAATAGTGACGCAAAACCAGGACAAAACGTCGAGAAAAAAGGTACAGGATAAATAATCATCACCTGGCTCCACAGTGATCATACACATATCATGGTCAGAGGCGCAAAACAAGCACAACATCGATTACTATCTTTTCAAGTGCGTTGCATAATGTTTACTGCTACCATTGATCTCCCAGTCCAACTCGTTCGAGATCAGCAGTTTATCGCATAAATTAGGCTCATAAATTCTTATACATAGACTATCACTGAATTTTATTCAGCGTTGGTTTGATAATATGTCGGAGTTTTTCGGCTCGCTGCTCGCGTAATCGTCACTTTTCTAGAATAAATGTTAGGCCTCCCTAACTTGCAAGCGCGCACTCCTTAACTCTTGCTTAATGCCATCCTTCATTTGTCTGACTAATTTTCTGCGCCTAGTGACCCCCGTGTAGCATTCTCCTTCAACTTCTGCGGGTACCTTTTTAAGATGGTTAATTTGAACTCGAAGAGGTTGCTCCTTTTTACCATTCAACCGAATCAGAGCGATATTTTCCGATAATTTGATAATACGGTAAAGCCCGGCATACTTTCCAACTATTTTACCTTTTTTTGTCGGCATATAAACTAAAATCTTTTCGCCCACCTTGGAAATACCTGCTACCGTTTTGTTACATGTGTCATTAGTATTTAGGGTTAAAGGAAAAATGGGAGAAAAAAAACGATGGAAAACATGAAAGGAATTATTAAAGTAGGTAAGAAATGTTTCGGTCCATTAAGTCGTATACATTTCTTACCTTTGCCACAGTTGGACCTCGCCAGTACGACGACTATGGTAAAAAAATTTAATCCAGGCTGGAACGCACCAGGCGGGCCGGTGCAATCATGCGTTTTTGCACCAAACTTTGAAGTACCGTCTCTCATAGAGGGGGAATGGGGAAGGAAGAAAGGGGTTCCACATTACGCCACCATTCAGCTGAGTATGGAGTTTGAACATTTGTGCGAATCGACGAATTAATAGTCCATCGCTACCCCGCACATTGACCGGGACAACTTCAACTTCCTAGCTTTCGCAGTTTTGGACGTGA